GATCCTGAAAGATCCTTCCACGATTTCGCAAGGAATGACTAGGATTGAGGCTAGGGATAGATGAATGAGTTGATTTCCTTTGTTATGCATAGAAACTGAAAACTTTCATACAAAAGTAAATATCTGATATCTGGTTTTCTGCTCACTTTTCATTCATATAGATAGATGAATAAGTTGATTTACTTTGTTATGCCTTGAAACTGAAAACTTTAATATGAAAGTAAATATCTGATATCTGGTTTTCTGCTCAATTTGCATACATATAGATACATGAATAAGTTGATTTACGTTGTTATGTGTAGAAACTGAAAACTTTCATACAAAAGTGAATATCTGATGTCTGGTTTTCTGCTCAATTTGCATGCATATAGATACATGAATGAGTTGATTTACTTTGTTATGTGTAGAAACTGAAAACTTGCATACAAAAGTAAATATGTGATATATGATGCACGATGACAGTTTTTGGCTTATCAGAAACTGAATAACTTGTTTTCACAATTATATCACTTACTAAGTCATTCAACCGAAACTGGTAACAGTTTGAGATTTGCCACGCCCTCGTCAAACTACTCAGAACTATCTTTAATTAGACCTAACTAACTCTAAACCCGTTTGTCTACCCAAGTCGAAAGTAGACCATCAAAGTCTATCGAATTTGTCTCAATCCGATCGAGTCTCAAGTGATTCCATAATTTTCGACACATTCCAATTACTAGGTTCCACCTAGTTCGAAGAAGTTGATCGTCGCATTAGAGCGCAACATAATCTGTATAAAGTGTGTTTCTACGTAGTAAAAAGTATTTTTTTAGATTCATTGAAAATTGATCTTGCTCCTAACATAAGAACGAAATGATCAAATAGATTAGAGTGGTGCAGAAGATTAATCTTATGAATATCTAACCGTGTACATGATTTGAACACTCGAGTTTGTGATAAATAGACATCAAATATTTTCTGTCTGGCCAGCACACATTCGTGCCATCTATTCAGAGAAAAAAGAACTACCGAAATCATAATCTATTGACTAATTCAACGTGTAGATTTACTGATCTCTCGTTTCTTTTCGTTATGGTATGCTCCTGTTGTTCGTACTCATGTGCTTCGGGTGAGACAGTAAAATGACATGACAACAGCTCGTCTCAACCGTTCATTGATTACAAGACAAGCATTTTGTCTTTACTCTTTTTTCGTTCGAATGATGTTCGACGCTCTCTAATCTTACTTATGGGGTAAGCCCAAATTTTTAGTATTTGCTAGAAAAATTTTCTTTCCTCTCTTATGACAAATCTGAAAAAGCTCAAAGAGGTACGCGTAACCTGTTGAAACTAAACAAAGAGTACCCTAAATTTTCATAACTCTAGCCCTATTTATAGAGAAGATTCCTTTTGGGCGGCTCAATACAATGGTTTATTCATAAAAAAGTATTTAGAATAAATAGTTCTTGTCGTCAATACAATATCAAACAATTCTAACGGGTGCGGCAGAATAAATGGCGGTCTCAGTATTTTGATTATAACTTTTTTTCTTTTTGATCTTTATAACTGGTTGTTTCGCCAAAAGATGCGTCGTGAAATTCTCTACAAAACCATAACTAAACGTATTTCTGTAGAAAGTTAAGAGAAAAAAAGAAATGAATATTATTCAAAAGATAAGAAGTACTCAACTTTCAAAGCTAGCGAGTGTCTCATGCATGCTTGATATTTGCATACCCTTTTTTATTATCAAGTAGGCGTATTTTAAAAACAAAGTACACCATAAGATGCAGCGTGAAAANTACATGATGTTCAGCTGTTAATGTATCATCATATACTGACAAAATGTTCATGTGTAATCATTCGAATATTTATGATTGTAATTAGATTTCTTTGTTATAAAAATAGCATGTATAATTACATCCAAGAATCTCAACGAAATCTAAGAATCTCGTACAAGAATATGTTGTTATTGTTGAATTCGAACAAGGATATGTTCTATTATCATCATCAACGATACATATTAACTCAAAAGAGTTAAAATCACTTTGGAAAACTAAAGTCAAATTCATAACACTTGCGTTAAAATAATTCAATCCATTATATAATATTGGTTCAAGATGTAAAAAAAATGATACGTAATTAAAACAGTGAAGAAATATTATGAAAGATTTTCAGTTACCTATTGTTATTGAAATTAAATTCATCAGATATTCTATCTTCGAAATTTTCTTTTATAGTCTTTGCTTGACATTTATATTTAATTCCTCGTAAAATTGATTGAAATTAAATTACAATGAGAACAATTTCCAGTCGTACTCATTAAATATATATTATTATGTAAACAAAGTTCATCTAATTCATAACAAAAAATGTTACTTCGATGATAATATCCATGTGGACGTTCAAAATAGATAAATGTTCTATGCTTATGTATTGAATCTTCAACAAAAATAAAATTTATTACTTTATTAAGATCTAAAATAACGACAGATAAGAGAAAAAATTCAAATTAGACTTATCTTTACTTGTTTTGTAAACTTGATAGAGATTTTCTTCTTGAAAAATGTTATCAAGTGTTCATTGTCTGTCTTATCTGCTATTCGAATAAGTAATCGAATTTATGATGCAATATAATTTGAACTTGATTCAAGATTAAAACATGTTTAAGTACCTTCATTTGAAATAGTATTATTTGATAGATCATATTCGTTACAACGAAAAACAAGAGATTTTCTATGAGATATATTAAGACAATTATTTATTAAAATTGATGCTGTTCGTTGATATGCATTAATAGCTATTGTGATAGATGTAGAAATATAAAGAGATAACGGTTTTCAAGTGATAGTAAATGTTTCATTAACAATTGATGAAACTGTTTATTATAGATCTTATTCTTTTGTGAATGATTATCACATAACGTATATTACTCTTTTAACTTTTCTATTTAAGAGAAATCTTCCTTTGGCTTGTTTTTATTTTCGTTTTTGTTTCATTTTTGGCAAGAATAAAATAACAGTACAAGGAAAAGAAGGCTGCTTCGAATCGTAAAAAGAAAGCTGAAATTAATAACAATAAAAGGCTACGTCAAAACAATAAAAATGAAAACTGTCGAATATCGACATAAGTGGATTTTTTTCTATGAAATTTATATGAATACGAGTTTTGTTTTGGAATAAAAACAAAGTCATGATTGTAACTGCATTTTTCTTCTTGTCTATTCATTAGATAGTCATTCATGCCCAAGGAAACACATTTCCAAACAAAATAAAACAACTAATCGTAGAACCTGGATGCTAAATACGTGCTTTCTGTTTTTAAATTGTAACCATCAACTAAATCAAATAACAATAGCTTAGAAAAATCATGTTTTAAGTGGACTTTTTTCAAATATTTTTCTTTCCTATTTTCGAGTAATATTTGTCAAAATTCAATCTAATCAAATCTCTGATATCTATAAGTTACAGATTGTTTTATTTGTTGTTTTTTCGATTAACCACTTCAGTTTTATTGAAGATAAACTATAACGAAAGTCTTAAGGACTCCCACCCTCTCAGAAAATCCATTTTTTCGGTGAAAGCTCGAAGAGGAGTTTTTACCATAGAAAGATGCAGTGAAATTTCCTCTTTCAGAATCTATATAGCTTTTCCCCAAAAGATCAAATTTTAACAGACTTTCAAAGCAAACTAACTTAACTATAGTGTTTTTTTTTCAGAAATTTTCGCGGTTTTTTAAGAATTTTTCAGTTTCGAGAGAGCTGTATTTTTTATTTATCTTACCATTGAATAAATCGTTCTGTTTATTTAAATATGACCAATGGCAGCAGTTTATAGCATTAGTTATGTGCTTTAAAAAATTCCACAGACATATATTGTAAAAAATGCTATGTCAATACGGTTTTCTTTTGATTTGAAATGAAAAAATCGATTTCTAAACTTATTTATCGTTTTTCTCAAAACAAGATTTGCAGACAGAAAAATGGAAATAACTCTCACCCAGTTCAAGATATACTCAAAATATTCTTTTATTTTGAAGATCTCGATGAGAGTAAACTTTTGTCTGAACAGATTTTTTATATTTGATTCCCGTGTTGAGAAAAGTGGGATTTACTGTCGTTGGATCACCGTTTCTCATGCTGATTTTAAGACATGTTTACTAAAATACTAATAAAAAATGAATAATAGAGAACTTAAAAAGTTCTTTTCAGATAAAAACTGTGCGCTGACATGTGCTTTAATTTCAAACCACCCCAAACTCTGTATCTCTTATAGCAACGAAGTTATAGCGTTTCTTCCGAAGCTCAAAAATGGGCCACGAATTAGCGGAAAATCCGTTATAGTTTGACCTATAGGACGGTAATTTTTACCAGAAGCATTTCTCACTAAGGCCACTCATCACTGAAAATTTCAGCCAAAACTGATGATCCTAAATGGTAAATCAATTTTGAGGGGGGGGGGGCGAGGGTTTAAGTCCTCAAAAAATGCTTATAGATATTTAACATGTCACAATAAGATATCAATTTCATCTACCAAACTTTGATATTGCATAAAATTTGGATACTCATCCGCGGATGTGGTTGACTAGAAAATTATCATCTTCACCACTGCATCCAAATAGTTGTTAGAATCTTTTTTTGTTAAGAGTATGACTTATTTCATGACAGTATGTGATTGACACGAAACCCAAATGTCAAGTGAGGGTGTGAGTGGGTGTGGGTGTGGGTATCATTCTCTTTCTAACACTTACACCCACACTTACATCCACACCCACACCCACACCCTCTGTGCTGGTAATGCCAAAAAGGATACATCAAGAGCAATCATAGCGACATCCGCTCTGGCTACCTTATTACATAAACGAAAGCATATACCATTCGAAGAAGCCACATTGATCGCTCGACAAAAGATTAGTGAATGTAATGCATTTCGATCCGAATTAATTTCATCTGTGGCTAATACAAGTTCTTTAATTTATTCATATTTGGATCTCGTTTTTCCTACTGATCATCACTTGATCGAGTCGATGACTATCTCCATAGGACGATATTGTACTGTTGAACATGATCCTGAAGAAAATACATTTGCTACGATTGCTGCAGATCGAATAGGTGAAGATCGAATCTATCGAAATCGAGCCCAAACACAAAATCATCGTTGCCAAAATGAAAGATCGCCCAGTAATTGGACGGACCCAATCATTGTCGACAGTACTAAAAACATTCGCATTGGTCATAATGCCGAACATTTCTTCTTTGTCTATCTACAAAAACTATACGGTACAGTCGATGTAACACCGACTAAAAATTGGCGTTCATCCTCACGTCTCGTCGTTTATCCGCAATATAGACGTAATGTGGATGATTCAGTGGGTTATGATTTTGAATTACATGATACACAGGAACAATTTGTACAAGGAACAAGATCGACAACCAAGACATGTTATTTCGAAGTTAAGGGCACAAGTGGATCATTTAATAAAGCACATACACAATTTCGTATGTCTCATAATGAATTCGAAACATGTCAAGCCATTGCAAACGATGCTCGAAGAAAAGAGCAAGAAGCATACTTCATTGTTATCATAGAAAACTGTCTCGATTCAGAAAAAATTGCTTTGGGAACTATTATAAATTGGTAAGATATCTTGTATCTCTTCGTTTTATTTGAGTATATCTATATCAATCGAATTATTTTTTTTCCTTAGGAGTAGTTGCTTAAGTATCGTGAAAAAGGTAGTGAATAGCTACCAATGTAGTTTTGCTTCGCCATCGGCAGTAAATTCAAATCATACTAAGAACGAAACGGCCGAAAGTGTTACTGTTGATCATCAGCAAAATCAAGAACGACGACAATCGATGACACCCTACGATAATAATCGAAATGCTATGCCACAAGCTGCACAATCTAACAACGAAGCGTCGAGCTCTAATCGTAATAATCCATCTGCTCACCGAAATCAACAACAACAAAACAGACAGTTTTACGGAAGAGGTCGTGGCTGGAATCGAAATTCTCAATACCCAATTACATGAAACTTACAGTATACTTTTATTATTTTTTTTGATTCAGCCAGTTCCAATCAATGGAAAGCTATTTTCGAATTCTCAATCAGAAAAATAAAACTAAAATGATGGTAAATGATACACCCTGAAATACATATTTCATCGATTGATAAAGAAAACTGTTGATTTTAAAGATATCTATACAGCAGTGATATTTATGTCTCGAAAAACACACTCGCACCTATACGCAATCACATTGACAACGCATTTGAAAGGTATTTCTCTATGTGTATCATACAGTGGCTTGATGAGTTTTCATACTGTATTGAATAGTTAACATTCCAAATATTGAATTTTATATGCAATCTTGTGAATATTTTTTTGCAGCCTATTTCCATATTATTACAAGGGATGACGCAATATTTCAATACATGAGTAGTGTAGGTGGGTTGTGATATACTATAGTGATCAACATCAATCAATATTACACTTATTTTTGATTTAAAAAATGAATCAAAACCAAACGCGACTTCATCGAGCGGAAGAAAAAGGGAAAATATTGATTAATATTCGTTCACAAGTTTTTGAATTCTTATAAAGTGTACAGATTTTCCTAGATTTTATTCATTTCATGCAGGGTGTGGTTATTAAAGAATAGAAAATTCACATACACACACTGACACTCACACCCACCTTCGGAATGGATAATACAATTGTTTCGATCACATGTTGTGCCGCTTTTCTTGCTTCATAGTTACATCTTACTTTTTCAATGCGTTGACCAATGGTGACCACCAATCTACTTTAACAGATAACAAAAGTTGCAATGTTTGATTAACTGTATCGGGTAAGTCACTACAATGAGGTGATCTATCGTCTTCACGCAGCATAAGAAATGGTAAATATGCAGCCTAATACTAATTAATTACTGGTAAATTCGTGTCCAAATGGGCTAGTACGATGTACTGAACTAGATTAGCCCAGCCGAGGCCAAAACGCTGTTCTATGTATGACGGTAATAAAGATACTTTGAGTTCAACAAGTGGAAAACCATTGTCGAGCGAAGATATACTTCATAAAACTAATCCAACGAAGATTCATGATAAATCAGCTAAAGAAAAAAGCGAAGAATTAAAACGAGAAAAATATGTTGAATCTGATGGTACAAAAATAATGAAACAGCTTGATACATCTGTATTTGTTTTGAAAAAACAAAAAACATGAAACTCGTGTAATTCAAGTTTGTAATGATATTTATACAGAAACTACGAAAAGATCAGATTATGCATTTCAAAATAGTATAATTACAAAATCGTTAACGGATCAATTAGAAAATTATATGACAAGTCGATTCAATGGTGAATTAATTAATCCTGCTGTTCAAACAGGTGCCGATAGAATTGTTAATCGTTTATCGTATAAAATAGAAGTTGTATGTATTGGTAGTAATGAAACATTAGAAAAACAATTGGAAAGACGTCGAGCTCAAAATGTCATTCGATAACAAGGAACTATGATAATAAAAGAAGAAGCAAAAGAACAAGCAAAACCTACAACACCAGAAATCACATGAACATTCATCAATCGATCCAGTTGTTGAAGAAATGGTACAGGATACTGAAAAGGATTCTCCTTTTAATTTAATGGATATCATGACTTTAAGTGTTAATTTTGAACGTCCAGTAATTATGTTTCGAAATAGCAAATATGATATGATAATTGAAGAAAGTCAAAGTGATGAACAATTGAAACTATACTATATAGAAAACAAAACAGGCGAAATTCAATATTTTGATAATAGTGGCACAGATAGTGTTGCTCAATGGACTAGTCCAATGGATTGTCTAAACGATAGAATAAGTGAACAAAGAAACATCCCAACAGATGAATTGAGCCAAATGGCAGGTGATACTATTAGAGGGTGTGGGTGGGTGTCTTGAACTTAATCACATGCACACTCATACCCACATCCTTATTTTTAGTTGGCCAGTAGAAAAGATTTTTTGTTGAAGTTCAATCAAAACCGTTGAAAATACTTTCATGTCATNACATCCTAAATTAAATTTTTCCAATTGAGGCAAATATCGTAAAATTAATCGTTCCCATCGACAAATGTTAAAAGAAGCTTTCATCATGTGCTTAAAACAAACACGTAAACATTTTTATTTATAATATATTTTGCTAGTGAATATTTCAAATTGATCAAAATTTTCCACAAAAATTCGTATCTAAATCTGTGTGAGCATGATACAGACGACGAAGTTGAGGTGTATAAGACAAAAAAGCAACACGTTGCTTGAGAGTTAAATGATGATCAGTAGAAAAATATTCAATAGTACTTCGTTGTTCATTGGTAGCCATCGGAAGTTGAATCAAGCTTTTGTTCGAATAACCAGAAATTTTGCTTGACTTTAAATTAGGTAAAGCTAGTATTAATTGATAAATCTCATGTAGATGTTTAAAAGTTTTAAATGTACAAATAGATAACGAAAAAAGACGAGGTAAGCCAGCTAATTTAATAAGAACTGGAATAAGTATATCTGATGGTGTGCCACTAATATGAAGTGATTCGAGAGAGTTCATTGACGAGTCAGTGATAAACGACGACAAAAATTCATTGTTTTTTTATAGTGACCATAGTTTGATGGAAAATATGCCATGCTTATTAAGAAGAAGAAATTGTTTATAGTTAATCGTAAATACTTTCTTATATCTTGATCGATCAAGTTTTATTTTATACAAAAGAAATGAAGAACTGAGAAGTTGTTCAAAACGATGATTAAGATTTGAAAATGCTTTATATATGTCATAACCATCAAGATAATAGAATATTGCATCGAACAATTCGCTAGGTAAATCTTCAATACAAGTTATTGATCGATCATCTATTAAAATGCAAGTGTAAAGAATGTTTTGTATCTACTATTTGAATTAATTACTTTGAAATTCCTTTGTTTCATCTTCTTTGGATTGATTAAAAGTTAATGTTCGTTTATCTTGATCCATATGTTTCTTTAAAAATTTCAAATACTATATAAAAAAGAATTTGAATGCACAATTTTTGTATACAAAATAAAATGACAAAGTCCTTTTTTTATTCAGGTCAATCTGAATTCTTCAAATGTATTCACTTATTGGTACTACTCTGGACCAACGACTCATTTGCCTTATTGGTTACGTAAATAAGGAGGAAAGGATAAAAGAAATTATTCGTTCATCTGTTTATATTGGTGAATTCAACAGAACGGAAGGTGGTGTACACTTCTAGGATGTGGATGTTCATGTGGCTTTTAAGATAATTTCTTTAGGTACATCCACAATGTATTGGAAAGCTTGTATAATAGATTTTTAGAATGGATTATGCATGCGCATTTTTACTCAAGACTGCTCAAGATTTTGATCATACATGCAGTTCAAATCTGGACAGTATTAAGGTTGAACACATTTTACATATTTTATTATCATTATTNACATCCTAAATTAAATTTTTCCAATTGAGGCAAATATCGTAAAATTAATCGTTCCCATCGACAAATGTTAAAAGAAGCTTTCATCATGTGCTTAAAACAAACACGTAAACATTTTTATTTAGAATATATTTTGCTAGTGAATATTTCAAATTGATCAACATTTTCCACAAAAATTCGTATCTAAATCTGTGTGAGCATGATACAGACGACGAAGTTGAGGTGTATAAGACAAAAAAGCAACAAGTTGCTTGAGAGTTAAATGATGATCAGTAGAAAAATATTCAATAGTACTTCGTTGTTCATTGGTAGCCATCGGAAGTGGAATCAAGCTTTTCTTCGAATAACCAGAAATTTTGCTTGATTTTAAATTAGGTAAAGCAGGTATTAATTGATAAATCTGATGTAGATGTTTAGAAGTTTTAAATATGCAAATAGGTAACGAAAAAAGACGAGGTAAACCAGCTAATTTAATAAGAACTGGAATAAGTATATCTGATGGTGTGCCACTAATATGAAGTGATTCGAGAGAGCTCATTGACGAGTCGGTGATAAACGACGACAAAAATTCATTGGTTTTTGATAGTGACCATAGTTTGATGGAAAATATGTCATGCTTATTAAGAAGAAGAAATTGTTTATAGTTAGTCGCAAATACTTTCTTATATCTTGATCGATCAAGTTTTATTTTATACAAAAGAAATGAAAAACTGAGAAGTTGTTCAAAACGATGATTAAGATTTGAAAATGCTTTATATATGTCATAACCATCAAGATAATAGAATATTGCATCGAACAATTCGCTAGGTAAATCTTCGTTACAAGTTATTGATCGATCATCTATTAAAATGCAAGTGCAAAGAATGTTTTGTATCTACTATTTGAATTAATTGCTTTGAAATTCCTTTGTTTCATCTTCTTTGGATTGATTAAAAGTTAATGTTCGTTTATCTTGATCCATATGTTTCTTTAAAAATTTCAAATACTATATAAAAAAGAATTTGAATGCAAAATTTTTGTATACAAAATAAAATGACTAAGTCCTTTTTTTATTCGGGTCAATCTGAATTCTTCAAATGTATTTACTTAATGGTACTACTCTAGACCAACGACTCCTTTGTCTTATTGGTTACGTAAATAAGGAGGAAAGGATAAAAGAAATTATTCGTTCATCTGTTTATATTGGTGAATTCAACAGAACGAAAGGTGGTGTACACTTCTAGGATGTGGATGTTCATGTGGCTTTTAAGATAATTTCTTTAGGTACATCCACAATGTATTGGAAAGCTTGTATAATAGATTTTTAGAATGGATTATGCATGCGCATTTTTACTCAAGACTGTTCAAGATTTTGATCATACATGCAGTTCAAATCTGGACAGTATTAAAGTTGAACACATTTTGCATATTTTATTATCATTATTNGACTTATCAACAGGTATAAATTCTTACTTAGCCTTTTCTACTTTATTATAATATCTCATAGATTTTTGCCAATAGATTATATACAAAAAAATGCGTGTCCTCTCACATGCGAACATAAAATCGAACTTAAAAATTTGTTAAATTCAATTTCAGTTGTTTTTTAAATTTAATTTATTCAAATTTGAAATAATTTTAGGTTTTAAATTTTCGGTTTTCAAAATTTCAAAACTTTACTGATATCAATTTTAAAAGAAATTAAAATTTCATTTATATTTTTAAGCTTGTTGAAATTTATAGAAGTCGCTAGAGATGGAGTTTCATTATTTCACTTTAATTACTTGTAATCTGTAGAGAGCACTAAACTACAATAGTGCTTCATTTCTTTCTAATTACTGCAATTTATAGAGTTCACTAGATATCGAGTTTCACTATTTCAATTTATTGAGCTGAAATTTGTAGAGTGCGCTAAAATATAGTAGTGTTGTTTGTTTCCAATTGACTGCAAATTATAGAGTTCATCAAACATAATTGTTACTATAAATATCATCAGCTGTTTTGATTTTGAGTAGACTATATAATTATGATAGTAAAATGGAATCGAGCATTGAGTGGAGATCACTGATTGGGATGCAAAAGCACGTATACACAAAAAGCAAACATACAGATAATGACACTCTAAAAATGAGAGCTCAGAAATAGATGTTAATGAGTCTTCTCTTGACGAGCACAACTCGATCCGCTCACATCTCATTCGGAAGAAATATTACGTTATCACCGCAAATTATGATACTATTTCTTTAAAAACTCGTTTTGTGTTCAACTAAAATCGTTCTTAGTTCGTCCAAAATCGACGACACTTGCTCGTGTACTATAAGTATTAATTTATTAATAACAAAAGAAAAAAACAGACAGTACATTCTACATTAGACTTCTGTTAAAATTCTTCGGAGCTAGATTCAAAGAAAAACTTAAATTCAACTAAAACCTAAAGTCCTCTACAAATTGCACGAAATATCAAAAACTCTCTGTTATCAGAAACTTGCGCCCTCTACAAATTGCAGCAACTATCAGAATCTTAAACAGCTTTTATTGTCAAGAAACTAACGACCTCTACAAATTGCAGCATGCTTTGTAAAAAAAGATCATTTTTTATAAAAAAATCTTTTAAAACAATTTATTTTCAATATTCGTTCATAGTAATCGAATTTTTAAAAGTTAAATATGAATTTTAATCGTTTTACCAAAAATTGCTAAAATTATCAAATTGAAATCAAACGAAATTTTAAAAATTTTAATTTACTTAAAATTTATTTTCTTTATGTTCGCAAATGAGAGGTAGTCAAAAAATGTTACTCAATTTTCAGTTCACTTGCGTCATGTTCATGACTCAATGGCAAGAAACCATCAATTTTTTTTACGATTTGTCGAACGTCAACAGACGCTTTCTTTTTTCTTCCTTTTTTTCAGCGCATGACATATCTTATAACATGTGCTATTGATGATTTCTCTTTCCCTTTGAAAGCGTTTCATCATTCTCTGTCGGGTGTGCGTGTGGGTGGCAAATATTCCTTCCTGGTGAAAAATATTTCTATGAAAATCAGGAATATTTGTGATTACTAGTGCACAAATCTCTTTCTTTGACCAGAGATTCCTCATTTTGAGGATACTCGGATCAAAATCGATTGAAAAAAAATAATGTATTCAACTGATTTTGTTTTGATTATTCCAGTTATAATTCGATTTTAATCTTTTTAATCGATTAAAATCTCAATCCATAAAAATCAGATTCATCGATTTTCAATTGATTACTAATAATTATCGGGGTGGTAATTTGATTTTAATCATTAATCGATCTTAACCTATTCAATCTATTGTCAAAGTGTTAGAGAATATCTGAAAGGTCTATTCATAGTCAAATGATTTGGATTAATTTGAGTCATTTTGGTCAGAATATTAATCCCTACTAAAACTAGGGCATCCAAAAATATCATGTAATATTGATTAAGAAAGAAGATCTATATAAAACACATTATAAATGAATATGAACACTATTAGTGCTTTTTCCAAATCATAATGTAGCTGCTGTTGGAAAAGTTCCTGGACAAAAGCCGAAGCCTATATCTCGGTCATTTCAAAAGCAATAAATCAATTTATTTTTATTTGAAAGATCTGATTGGCCTCTACAATAAACAAGCACTCGATGAGTTTAACTTTATTTTCAGATAAAATGGCCAAGAAAAAAAGAGAAGAGACTCGACAACGCATTGCACACTTTTATAAAGATGTTGCGGGTGGAAATCTGAAAATAACTGTTAACTTTTCTTTGAAAGAAACTTTGAAAAGAAGTATCATACATTCTACAATACACTAGTAGAAGAAATTCAGCACAACCAAAGATCTGCCTCGAAGTGGAAGACCGGCCAAGTTAAGCAATATTAAAGTGCCAGGATTGGTTCTAAAAATCGGCAACAAGACTGGTGTTATGCTGTGGCATCAGGTCAAGGGATGTAACTTATCTGCCACAACTGTTTCTGGAACTTTGATGAAGAGAAAAATACTCGTAAACATAAGCGTAGATAGACTCTGAGATATTCAAATGATCAACAACAACGTGCTGGAAAAAATAGCGGTCAACTGTATCATCAAATTTCAAGCAATTCTTTCGTCATCATGGATGACGAAAAATATTCTTCATTGAACAATGTTGCCATACCTAGCAACGCATATTATCATACGCGGCACAAATCTAAAACACCAATCGATGCCAAGAACAAAAAGGGTAAGGCTGTGAGTTTTCTCTTCATTAACACTCACAACCTGAAAAAGCCTTTCAGTACGATGACAGCGACTATCGAACGATTGGTGGTGTAGGCAATCTTGGGAGAATTCACTCAATGATCGCATCAGGAGAAAATGAGCAAACAGCCAAGTTTAAATTACATTTGAAACTTAACTATGATGATGTTACATTGTCGACTCAAACTTAGCGAAACTTTGCGGTCGCATTTATTAATGATCTCATTGCTAACATTGGATGTAAGAAAGAATTCGTCAGAGTATTTTCTGTTAGTCGTGAATCTTCAATCAATGTCGACTGTGGTATAACGACACCAGAATTTGAAAAAACAAAAAGGTTAGCTGAACAGCTAAAACATGCATTGAATCGTCTGTCACCAAGCCAATAACAAGGCATTCTTCAATATTTGATCCAAGAACCTTATGATTTCAAATAGGAAGCAGCATCCACCTTTTCACAATTGCCAGAATCAGATTCTGATCCTCGATACAATCGTGATTACCCTCGCGCTCAAGAGGAAAAGCGATGTGGACGGGCATACTATTTTCCACAAGGATGGTATCGTCATGCGCTGAAAGTTGAGGGTAAATATCCAAATAATCGGTTGTGACTCGGCATGAATGATTCACTGGGTGAGTGGATCGTTGCCTACCGTGGAACAAAAGCGAGTGTCGTCAAAAGTATTTTAGATACAGGTCTACAGCACAAACTCGTCACCACTGATGCTCTTAAAAACGAGGCAAAACGTCAACGACCTTCTATTCCCTATGTCAAAGGGTTTTATGCTGCCACACATTGCGAGGGAGTTGCCTCGATTTTTACTTGCAATGACTTCAGAGTTGAAGGTCCACTAGGCACTTTCCAAAGCTATCATACTATATTTTAACGTCGAGTCGAAGATAACAAATTCACAAAACACACTGAACCGGTTAATGTTGGGCTAGCTCTAAGAGTGTTTGACGACAAAGCATTTCGACTCTATGGCCTACGCTTAAAAGCAAAATGAGGTGACCTCAAATCATTTTGCACTTAAACAAGTATATCTCGGAAAATAAAGACGAGTTATTATGTTGTAACACTATGAAACGTAGCGTACATCGACAAAAACAGATACTTTCATTTGCAACAGACAGGTCATCCTTCTCAGTTTCACCAGTTTCCTTCTTTGAATTGAAATGATGATATGTTTAACAACAGATTACCCGTGTTAATGAAATAACTACACCTGGAAAAAGTATCGGACGAGCGACGCTTAGCCAGATAGCAAAGATTAACAATGAGTCATGTTCTGAATTCGCACGTTGACCACGAACATGCACAGAAAGTGGCCACATATTAAATAATTTGTTGCGAAAGAGAGTCTCTTTTCTTTCATCTATCTTTTTCAAGGGTTTACATAAATCTTGAGAATATGTGTGAGGGTGGGGGTGTACGTAAGTAAATGGAAAACAGGCCAACTTGTCTCTTGACGAAAAAGACAAGATCAATATGTTAGTCTCAACTATTGCACATCAGCATTCGACTAAGTCAACAATCAATAACTAATAAAATTGATGCGGCCATGAGTGTAGGATGTGTCTAGCAACCCTTTTCGTAATTTCGTCCGTGCTAAGAGTCATCAGATGGCTTTCACTACATATCTGTTCAAGAACGACTTGTAGATCACAAACAAGAGGGTGTGGTGTGGGTATGAAGACTCTGTCATGACCGGTTTCGACCTTGCTTAAGGGTCTCATTAGATGCCTTATCTATTTTGAATTTCCCAAAAAACCAAAACAAGATGTATCTTCAATATTACTTGAAGTAGTAATAGAACAACTTGCAATAGAAAACTTTTTCTTCAGGCAATAGTGTAAATAATTTGACATGACCGGTTTCTTGATGTGGCCGGATGTTTTCTCGGTCGTTGCTTTTGATTGGTATGCGTTGTGAAACTGAAGATTGTAGGTATATGTGAATATTTCGTGACGTTGTTTCTTAGATTGGCTCACTTGTTGCTTGGTGATAACATACGGCTTGATGATGTTGCTCAGTCTATGGTTGATTGATGCGTTGTGCTCTTGAATGCATGTTGTGCTGAATACTGAAGGCGTGTTGATAATTGAATTTTTTAGAACTCCAAGCGACTTACAATGTGTTTCGGCCTTGTTTGGGATATGAGTGTGAGTGTGCCAAGCATATCATGATCTAGATGTCGACCTTGCTTAAGAGTTTCATCAGATGGTTTTTGATATTAAGAAGTTTTTGGAGCTGCCGTAAGGAAACTATGAATACATTATTTGTCAACATCTATGAAAGAGTTGATATAATCATTGCACCGATGATTATTGAAGTATAGTATGAGTATCATATATTTTAGGAGATCGATGATCGTCCTCACGTTTTTTAGTTTAATTTTGGATCTTTTATGAGATTCCAACTCGATTGCGATTTTGATTGGTTCATTTTTTTTGATGGAGTTACGTCCAGTGGTTAACTCTCGTTTGTGTGTGTGTGTGTGATTGAGGTTGTGGCTGTGGCTGTGCTCACACCCATACCCAGCCACACCCACACCCACACCCACACCCACACCCACACCCACACCTCCACCCATGTAACAAATTAAGACAAAGCATGATATCGCAACATCTTTTGCAAGAAAGATTGATCTTTCAAAGAACGAGTGCGATGATTTTCTGTGTATATCTGTTTCTATTTTTCAGATTTAAGTGCTTGTTTTGTACTGAGTGCTGTTTGAAAACGAGCAGACAAACATAAACATTCGCGCACATCTGCTTTTTCTTCTTACATCAAAGTGAAACAGGTTGAAAATCGACATATGCAAACGTAAGTCAAGATTATCTATATGTTATTAAATACTCAGCATAGGCTTGTACATCATGGTAAATTACAAAAATATGGTCATTGTCCGTGGTTGTATCGAATCCTTGTGGTGCAGTTTTCATGTTGCTATTTCCTAACGGGGTATTTCCAATAAGAACACGTGCTATGAACATGCATCGTTCTCCATTGGAGTTAGGTTTTGCAAATTGATGACTGTAAGTTGCCTTCGACGAAAAATAAACACCTTGACCTTATACCGTACCTATGTAACAACGAATACACTTCGTACGATGAATTTTAGCAACGATTTATTTCGATCTTACCGTTAACTCCGCAATAGCTTCTGTCAAAATTACCTCCGATAATCGAACCCGTGGATTGTTGTGGACAACCATGATATAAACGCATTTTAGTGTCTCTATCTAAGCGACTTTTAAAGTCGCGCCGATGTGTTACGTATTGTGAATACCATCGTTCATTTTGTATTCGTTCAATTTTTAGGATTTGCTGGCAAGAGCCTGCCATTGCTTCATAGAAATCATTAGCGGTGGACTGATATTCATCTGTTTCTTTGGATATCGTATATCGCATTATATTATTTATTAACGATGCCCATGTTGAGGGTCGTTGTAAATCAGCTGTGAAACACAAGGTCAAGTCAACATCTCTGTTCAATTCAGGTTTGTGTTCATTATATGTGAAGCATGGAAAAATAAGCACAGTCAAATGGAAACAGTATTGGACAGATAAGAACTCTTGATATGCGTGTTTGACAGTTATCAAGGGGCGCTATTCGATCAACAACATCGGTACGAGACAATCAAAGCCTAGATATATCCGCTGTTTCCATGGAAATATTCTATTTATAGTACAAAGTTAGAATACCGGAATGGATGGCTATCTTGCGGTGGATGCATGAGTGAGTAATGGGTCTTTTCTTCATTTACAACAACATCCTACTCAACCACCCACACTCTCACTGTCACGCTCAATCAGGCTTGCTGACTTTTCTCAACTACTGTAAGTTTCGGTAGTTCAAAATATGAACCGAGTTGTACCTAAAAGATGAGGTGGATTTTCATATTTCAATCACAAAAATGTTTTATCTTTCTTCCAAACAACTGTTTTTGATGACATAATACCTAATTGAATGGTCGAAATCGGAAACGAATTTTTTTTTCGATAAGTGCGTGAAATCCATGAAGTGACCGTTTCCCAGAAAGTGATACGCTTTCAAAGGATTCACCCAAATAATAGCATACTCTTTCGCAGGTCCATGGGAATAGATGGAAATATCTACATTCTGAGCTCAAATTGATACGCTGACCAATCGCTCGTGCTGAATATATCGAAAAACCTGCCTTATACGCTACTGAATAAAACTGAACTGCTATATCGCTCTTTGAATGCTCCATGTTTCAGCTTTTTCTGCATACGTGCTTGTGTATTTCAATAAATTGTCCCACACTATACAAAATGTTTACAGAACTTATTTTTCAAAATTTCATTCTCGATTTCAATACAATATCATGTCTTTCTACTCGTCTATAATTATACTTAAGGTTTATTCTTAGATAATCGATGAAAGTTTGATATGCATAGATCCGCATGATCGTGATTTTATCTTCATTCGTAAGTTGACCAGACAAAAATTGTCTTCGGTGATTTTGAGTCTTATTTACTATCAGGTTTATTGAACTGGAGACTTTTCATTACAACAGCAATACATTATTTCGATGCACTCCCACGCATCTGACTTAAACAATGTCTCAACCAATCAACAAATAATCAAACATAAGAATATGGTTAGAGATTATACAAAATACCGAAGAGAATCAACAAATAGTCAGTCGCAACGATCATTAGCTGTTTCGGGTAACATATTATTGAGAAGGGTGTGGGTATAAGTGTATAAAGTAGAAGATACCCACACACCACACTCCCACCCTTCATACTCATGACAAACCGTGACTGATGAGTTGCAGGAATTATCAAAAACCTTGGGAGACGTTTTTGATACATGATTAGTGATGATCTATCACTACATCTTATGAGACTATATTAACTGCTTCCATATTGCAGTTCTTGAGGATTAAGTAAAAGATGAGTTTAAAATAGGCTCCAAGATCGATCAAAGAAAACAAGATTCTAGTGATTAGTAGCACTTCATGTTTCACAAATTTAATCCCGCAGAGATTCCACTAACAGCTTTTTACCGAAATCATAGGCGATAAATTATCTATAAATCTGAATATTTGCTAACTAATTTGGAGTTGTTTATGCTTTTATGATTGAGAACCAATGAAACAATCCCTAGGTCTATTTGCAACAACCATGAAAAACAGCACCAAAATAAAAGGACGAAAAAAGGAAACTATCTTTAAATCGTAAAACGGAAACATTTACCTGCCGCTGTTAGCGCATGATGCATATGATGCTGAGTTTGTAAGACGTATAAAATGAACACGACCAGTATAATTTCGAGAATCATCGCTCGTTGTGATAGTGTGGTGCACAGACTTCAACAGTAGATAATTGTAAACAAATGAAATTTACTCTGAAAAGAAAATTTGAAAAATACGCGGTCAGGTTGTTGCTGTACGACAGTGCGCAAAAAAACTCCATGAGCCATGAAACACAAATAAAAAATAAATTCTGCATCAATAGCAGAAAAGTAAATTAAATTTTACGAGACAGAATGAGAATGAGAACGAAACAAATCGTGAAAAAAATATCATCGAAGCTACATCATGAAAAGAAAAGAAAAAAACTGATGTGAGAGGTGAGGCCATTCATTTCACTTTCTCGCTTACTCTTCACCCTTCACACGAGAGATGCAGAATCTACGCGTAAACTGCAGCGACGCTGCTGAGAAAAATGGTTGTCTTCGAGAAATTCGGAAAAAATGAAGATGGAAAAGAGAGCTTAAAGTCGAATGAAAAACGCAGTAAACCATTAAAAGAAAAGATTTCATAGCTTAAATAGAAGAAATAAGATTTTTTCAAAGAAAAAATATGTATTTTCCCCGAAGGAAAGTCCGATTTCGCTTGAAGAAGCTATCCAAACTTTCTTAGATCCGTTGGTAGAAATGTTTTGACCTCTCTCTTGTTAAGTATTTGTTTCCTCTGTTTTATTTGAGATCGATCTTTGAACATCGATGAAGGCGCAGGTCAAGCGGAAACGCCAAACTCTCGCTTGAATTCCTGCTTATCATTGGAATCAAACGAAAACGAAATTTTGGAAAAGCCCTTTAGAAACTCTAAACATACCAATTAAATTGAAATAACGCCGGAAGTACAGCAACATCAAAAATATTCAAAAAGTCTAATGGTGTGGGTGTTGGTCTTGGTCTCTTCCTGTTCACTGTCACATCAACAGCTACCAGCATCCACACATTTGTCAGCGTAGCTCCTTTAGGGCTTCAATGTGAAACCCACATAGCTTGTTTAGCTTCATTGTACTGATAGAAAGCAGAAAAATGTTTCAATCAACGATCGTTCGGTTTTCTTTTTCTGTACGGCGTTTTATTTATGTAATTATTTTTTTTATTCAACGTTTCAGAGTGGGCGTGGATGTGTGAGTATGGGTGTAGGTGCATGTAGTTGTGGGTGCGGAGTGTGGGTGTAACTTATGCTCAGCCACACCCATACTCATACCCACACTCACACATCCAAACCCACACCCTCAAGTTGCATATTCATTGATAATGGTGGTGGAATACGTTGATGTTTGTTGGTTGTTTGATGAAAAACAACATTTGAATTTGGATCATGATATACTTGAGAAACAATAACGTTATTTTGATTCATAAGTGATGAATCATTGGACTTATTTATTTTTATTAAGACCAATAAGTGATTGATTCACGACACTTGAACAATTGTGCATATGAGAATTAGAATAGGAAGTCACTCGTGATGACTAATTATTCCAATAATAAGCGAAAATAAATAAATAAATATTTTCACTATCACGCACTGAGTGCGTAATTATAAGAAGATAAATAATATATGTAAGAAGGGAAGAGGAAAAAAATGCGACTTATCCGTACCACGTGAACAAGGCGAATGTGTTCTTGCTCGTTTTCGTCTATGGTCACTTGTATTCATACTACGGGCTGAAAACATGGACGATTTTCTATACGTTGATGAAGTCATTTGGAATGATCCTTATTCACTTTTTGACACAACAAATAATACAATAACGAGTCGAAATTTGACTAAACTATATACAATAATTCAACCCTATTACAAACTAATGCTGACGTTATCATTCTTCTTTATCGATATACTTAAGGTTAAACAACAATCAACACTTGAAGATTATCTTCCATTACTATCAAATGTAACTTATAAAGCAAAATAATACATTTGGCGATGTATTGATGCCATAACACGTCGTGCATTCGTCCAAGATAGTCAAACATTAATTCGAGGTATTTTGAGAAAAATATAGTTCAATAAAAACCGATTTTGTTATAATAATCTTATACAATTATTTAGAAAAATGTGCCAATTGGGCCTTTATTCCATGTTTGAGTACAGGAAATAAATTCTGCAAATATAATGATCCACTATTCTATTTACAGACACATTGTTGATTGTGAATCGATCAGGTAAGAGTAAAATTGAATGAGATATTGCCAAACTCACTATGTAAAAGAAGTGCTTTAAATACTTTGATCAGCTTAGAACACAAGAGGTAATACTTTCTAATCTGAAGTCAGAGGACAAACTTGTTTCAAGTTAGCTCTTGGTGAAGATTTTTGAAAACGATATTCTGAAGCTATTTTTCTTTCGATCTATGAAAGACCGGCGTTTCTAAATGGTTTCGCTTGCCATTCGACTCATTATGAGGAATTGATTGGAATCGAAGGTTTAAAGAAAAATCTTATAACTTATGAACAGAATAATTTATGAATGTTGCCCTTCTGTAGATCGAAAAAGAAATTGCTTCAAAATATTATTTTTATAAATCCTCACCAAAAGCTCACCTAATAGATCAAGTGCTAATCAATCGAATCTCAATATACTTCCATGGGCTTGAGTCTGCGCTCTCTTGAATAGTACAAAGCACAGATTTATATGACATGCCTATCAAAGTTTATTTTGAAAAAAATACAGTACATCATATTTTGAAATGGATGGCAGACATTTAGACAGAGTTGTTAAAAATATGAACCAGCACTTTTATGATACATAACTTTGAAATGAATGTTGAAGTATATGGCGAGAGAAATGATGCCATCTCTGCTTTTCCTCCGTATACTCAACGGATAGACAGAATTAATAAACAAATGAATTTTTACTGGATTATAAGTCAAAAGGAAGAAATTCTGCATATGAAATCTTGAGTTCTACGAAAATCACATAGTTGAGATATGAAAATCTGTACAGATAACAATTTTTCTGGGTAGGACTTGCTTTTCCACGAAGTCTTCTTTTCAACATGTAATGTGCAATTTTATTGGTACAGAGACGTAACTCAGTAGACTTTTTATATGTACATTTAGCTCCTAGGTTGTATCTGTACTCAGACTTTCCAAAACACGTTTTGTTCAATGTTTAAAATTCCAAATCTTGCTGATGTCATCAAGACTTTTGTTGATGGTGATAGTAAATATCCATCTGTGGAATTAACCAATTTTTATACAAATACAATTGATCTCATTCATTCATTTTTAATCAAACACAATTGCTTATCGAAAACACGTTCGAATTATTTTCAATCTGTCTTTGCTCTAATGAAAATTGTTTATGTCGATCGAATTCATTTCTCGTATTCGTACAATAACAATACAAGACGAACATCAACATTATCGAAAACACATTCGACCTATATTGGTGAGCCAGTTGCGAAATTTTTTATTTTATCAACAATTGAGAAACCTGAAAAAAATATTAATACAATGGTAAATTATTTAATTGAAAGTGAATCAATGCGTCCCAAGCTTGCAGAATTTATTAAGAATCTGTATAAAACATATCAACAAAAAGGAGAAGAAGGACTAGGAAGTTTACGACAAAGCTTTCCCTCACAAGCAGACTGTCAAATGGATCATGCCTTCGATTGTCAATGAACCTGAGTCATTATTACTAGAATAAGAAGAAGACGATGATGAACAACGGACAAGTATCAATAATACATCCATCAATATTTCAGATCAAGCAATTGAAAGCATGAAAAAAGAATCGAATTGCTTTTCATTAATACTTCAACCTAATAAAGTGGGTGTGGAAGAACCAATGCCACTTGTCTGTTTTTCAGCCAAGTTAGCAACAATGGGGTTAAATTTGCCATCTAGTGTAGTCTTACAAGAAAGAAAATCACAACCAGACAATGTTACAAAAGAAAAGATTTTCATATCATCTGTACCTGAAAATGATCAAGATGATTAAAAAAAATGATGATGTCCAACGACACCTAGAAATAAATAATGATGGTCCATATGAACAAAAGAAAAAAAATGATGAGGAAATGGTATCACACAATAATTCCACAAATACCAACAGTAAGCAATTATGAACAAGATCATATTTTAAACTGAACCAGCCAGTTTTCACCACTTTTCTTTTGGTTTTCTAAAGACACTACAGCTGATCAATTTTTTCTGTTTTTTCTAAGCTGCCGTAGTTTTAACGATCACAGATGCTAACATTTTTTCATTCTAGAATGAGAGCTTCGAATCATGCTGAATGAACTTTATATATTCACGAAAGGCTAGCCAAGTATCAGAAGTTAAATTCGGTCTAAACTAAAGATTTTGCATCTCAAAATTTCGAGCGCACTTTTCTGAAGTCTACAAGCTATACTATCTCTTTGTTGACAATAGTTTCCTTTTACAAATTGAGATATCTTTCAGCTGTATTAAATAATTATTTCAACTAAGATACATGGTATATCTTTGTAGAACATACAGTTCATACTCGTTTATGTCTATTCTAGAAAATGCTCAACAAAGATTAATTGAAGTTGAACGATCATCTGATCACACTTTAACAATCAGAAACATTTCTTTCGTGCAAGCCCCTCAGGCTATATTCGAATGCATTCGCGTTTCAAATATATATGATTTTAATCTGTCAATATCGAATGTATTGTCGTCAGCNTTAATATTCAATGGATGAATGATAAAAAATACTAATTTTTCAAAATATTTCCATTTTTTTCGAACTTACAAATATATCAACAAATATAACAAAATGATAAGAAAAAAAAAACATTAACTATTAGAACATGCAATAAATATAGTAAGTTACCACATTTCAGTGAATAAAAATATAAAATAAGCATAATATTATTTCGTTGGTAGAATAGAATGCAACAATCAAGAAAAAATAAATTAACTTAAGTTCTATTTAGTTTCGAGCACTTGTAAGTGCTTCTTGAATCAGACAGTATTCACAGAATACCGTGTTAGATGTGAAAAATGTTTGTTTACATTGATTACAACAATATCGATTACATTGTACACAACAGGTAAAATTCGTATAAACAATTGCATAGCATCGGTAGCATGTTGCATAAGATGAATACGTTGACTGTCCAGGTTGGAAACTTGTCGTATTGGTGATTGAGTTGTCGTATGAAGAGTATGTGGTGTATGGATTTGATTGTGCTGTCATATTATTTTGACACATTATTGCAGTAGAAACAGAACCAGCCGGATGTTGTAATGAGTTACTTTCATTCAAATCATCAATGACATTGAGAAGTTGTTGTGGATTTTGAAATTTACGAGAACTAAAAAGAAGTGACATATTTAGAAAAACATATTTTTGCAAAGAAACCTTGTTGTACACTCTTAAGGTAAACCTTTTATTGACACTAAAGTAAAGTTTTATATTGAAATTAAATAGCTGTCTTTTCGCTGATTAATATTTTTTATCTTCAACTAAGTGCTTTTGTTTTGACTCTAGAAACATAATCTTGAAGAAAAGCTTGACATAACTAACCGTTTCTTCGTTCCATTAGACGCAGTAAGCCTGGTCTTGCAGGGCTTATCGTTTTTTCGTTGTTTTGCTTGTTGTTTTTGTTGTAATCGCATCAGAACATCCATGGTAGTAAGACTTTCACCATTTACACGTTCAATCATTTTTCTTTTCTTTGTGTGTGACGTTTGTGAAACTGTTGATGACATATACTTTTCAATAACATTAGCTAATACATCTATTGCCTTTTGTGAAGAATCAGACGAAGTAATGTTTGCTAACGAATTGTTTTGAGATTCAGACAATGACGCAGCTAATGTAGAATTATTTAGAAAATCTATATTTCGAGAAGTTGGAGAAATGAATGGCACAGGTGTTAAAGATGATGTTGTTGCTGGTGGATTAAATTGAATACCTGAAAAATAATTGAAATGCACTTGAATGTTCGAGAACTTATTTATCAATCACTTGAAGATTGAACAGACACATTTGTTAAATCAGTATACATAGGTGTATAAGGCGACGACTGATCTGGAAGGATAACAAAAACAAAGTGAAATTAATAGAAAATTAAATTAATCCTCACTGCTTTCATCAATTGGTGCTGGTGATGAATTAATAGTTTTCATGTTATCCGTATTGTTGGGTGAAGCTTCATTTTAATAAGTACCAGAATTGTACATAAAGATATGTCTAGATATAAATAAGATTGAAAACTTACTATAGGTAGACGATATTGCGTTGTGGTAGCTAATATTAGAATTATTGGTTATGCTACACGTTGTGTTATCTAAAATTACAAAGAAAATAAAGCTTCGTGATTTTCGATATAAGCGATGAAAGAATATGTTCCATTTTAAGCTATTTTATTCTTTTCTGTCTTGATAATATTCTCAATAGGTTTCTGAAGAAGGTATATATTTTGAGTATTCATCTGGAACTAGGTATGAATCGAAAATCTAATAAAACAATACCAACTTGTAATAAGTGAAGTTGACAGTGCTGAGATTGAATTCGAAAGAGAATTATTAGGTTCATGACATAAGACTGTTCCCATTAAATCGAGTGCTAATATAACAGATGTATCATGTAACAACTTTAAAAAGTTATTGACAAATGCTACTTACAAATATTTGACAAATGATCACATGATGCAGATCGATGAAGACGCCGACTAGAACTATTGATGGTGGCAGAATCGCCTGAACTTGGTACATCAGAATTTGTAGTAGCTGAAGCCGTTGTCGTTATCGTAGGTGGCACAAAAATTTTATCTTGGCTAACTGCAAATGGATCAAACGAGTAGACTCCGGCTTTAGCAAAACCGGAGCTACAATGGCCTTTTCGTATATGTTTTTTCCATAGTTCAGATATCTGAAATAGAGACGAAATGAGATTTCTTATTGATAAAGTTTTAGAGTGAAGAATCTTTTAAAATTGTTTGTGATCCATGACAGCCATATTAGGGTATTGTGGAAGGCTTTCAAATATAATAGAATTGTTGATATTAGTCATCTAAAACAATGCGGATATTTCTAACGGTAGATCTAGTGAATATAGTTTATATCTGAAATGCAAAAAGGTAATTTCATGTAACAACGAATTTCAATATTTCTTATTCATCAACTTTTTTTTAATTACTTGTCTCAAAATCAGGGTGCGACTTTTGTGATTTACGCATATATATATATGTATTTCATAAGAATAAAAAAAGAACTTACCAATAAAGCAAAATTTTGCTTGTCAATTGGACCACTATTCGTTTTTAAGTTATGTTCAACAAGAAGTGATCGCCATGCTGTTTTGATTTTGTGAAGTGTAACAACGTCCAACGGCTGCAAGATGGTAGTTGTGTGAGCTGGTAGACATTCCAACTCGATATGATTTTCCATGGCCAGTTTAACAGTTCGAACGCTTATGTGCGTGTGATGTCCATCAAAAAATAAAATAACAGGCCGTTTAATTGTACTTACTCGAGGAATAAATTGATTTTTGAACCAATCGAAGAAAACAGGTTCCTCGATCCATCCTGTTTTTGTGCAGTTGTACCTGCTTCCAGGAAATCCATTTTTTGGTACTGATGTTGTCCACATTCTTGCACCTTGATAGATAAAATAGGGTGGCAATATCCTATCACGAAAATAAACTTCGTCTTTTTTCAATGAGATTGACGAGAAACTTACTCTCCACTAGCAGATGTACATATCACTAGTGTAGTATGGGACTTTCCTGTACCCGAATGTGATGATATTGCATGTTTTGTGGTGCGCTTAATGACGACAGATCTTCGACCTGGATCATCCAGGAAGCCAGCTTCATCAACGTTCCACAATGCGTCTGGTCTGTTGAATAAATCGAATTTTTTAAAAACACTGCGCAAATGTTCAAACCAATTTTCTACAAGAAAAAAGTGAATTAAACTCTAACCTGTGGAGGCAAGTTTTCACAGTACAAGTTAAACTTGATATTGATAAACTTCTATACGCATACATACCAACAATTTCTCGACGACAAGCATTTGATCGCACTTTTTCAAGTTTTTCTGTTTTTTTTAATTTTAATTCATTCGACCATCTTCTCATAAAACCACTGAACCAGTCTCGTAGTGTAGAATTCGGTAAGATGGTTTTACCAAGATCAATCATGAAAGATTTCGCTAAATTGATCACAGCAGTCGGTGTTACAGGACATTGCCATTGTTGAAATAATATGATGGTATGGACAAGCAGTTGTTCTTCATCTTTGGTTAAGATTGATTTAACACCTGGTCGAACATCAGTTTCATTATGCAATAATCTGTTGTAAATTGTTCGAATTGGAATCCGAAAATGCACGGCAGCATCGGCAACTGAAACACCTTTTTCATGAATTTGCATTAAAGCTTCTTGTAATTCCTTTTCGGTGTAACTAGGTTCAGTTTTTCTTTTATACGTTCGAGGCATATTTGATGTATGATGAAGAGAAGAGAAACAACACTGAGAAACAAAAAGCTTTCTTCTTTTTATAGATAAGCGATCAATTAGACAAGCATTGTTCATCAACAGTAACAAAGAGCATGCTTTGTTTCACATTTAGTGCACCAATAAATAACTCAGAAAAGCAACGGTGACACATACTCATCCAATCAATTTTTGTCCAAACATTTCTAATGTAATTTGACATTTTTTTGTTTTCGTTTACTCATATCATAAAGTAAAATAGTGTTCAATATTATATAGAAAACGACACAATTTTCCCGAAATAGAACCCTCGAGAATATGTGACACCGATCGTATCACTTTTTACTATTTCATAAATAATACTTTCCACATTGACACACTAACAGAATCAATAACAGCCAGAGAAAACTTACTTTTTACTCAAGTTCATTTGGTTCTCAACTATGAGATTGATCTTAAGATATATTTGTGAGTAAGTTCGAAAAAA